GCTTAAAAGCCTGAATTTTGCCTGAAACTCTCAGACTGAAGAAGTCTCTTGGAGGAGAGACGAAATGTTTCATCAGAGAAGAACCCGTCCAGAAGACCTATACAATTTTTGTTCTTTTTGATTTTTTACCTGGATTACTGAGATGCATCAGGACATTCAGTTCAACTGTTTATTATGATGATAAAAATATTATTGTTCGCCGTCGCCGAAGTGGGGGACTTAGAAATGTTCGCTGTCCATCAGTCATAATTTCAGAAAGCCTAAAATACGCCATGAGTCATCCATGTGACCATACCATGTGGTCATATGACATCATCAAAGCCCCACCCCCTGACAACAGGAAGTGACCTTTTTTCAGCTTGGACAGCTCATACTCTTAAAATAATCAGCAACAAATTGTGTTAGAACTCTTGATAAGAACTTGATCTCTCTCATGTTCGAGCACAAAGACTTTTCAGTGAAAGGCGCTGTCATGGCAGTGCATCACGCCGTTAACATTTGTTTGCCTCCAAATTCCACCTATTTCAGCCAGTCTGCACCCAGTTCCCTGTGGTCAATCCTAATCCACTACAGGAATGTAGCCCAAATTTTGGGAGGCGTGGCCTTATTACATATCACTCCGCTCACTTAGGTTTAGCTCTAAATTTCACATATTTCAGCCAATCAGCACGCAATTTGCTACGGTTGATCCTAATTCACACCACTACAGGAATGCAGTCCAATTTTTGAAGGACGTGGCCTAATTAGTAGGGGTGCAACGATACAGAAAATTCACGATTCGATTCGGTTCGGTTCGATACTTTAGTCTCACGGTTCGATATTTTTTTCGATACAACAAAAGAGAAATGTCAATGCCCATTTTAATTTGTAATGTTTTTAAAGTAATTATGAACATTTGTTTAACCTCAAAATAAGTTTTCAAATTAAATGTTGCCGTAACAGCAGGTTTCTCAGTGGATCTGCACTCGACAGTGCAGCCTAGGTGGAGTAGTCGAACACAGATCCACTGATCCTTCAACACAGAGCATCTTCAGAAGACAAGCTGATGAAATAAATTTTAAAAAATCTGTATTGTTCGATACAAGTGTGCATGAACCTAAATCACTGTATTGAACGGTTCGATACGGGTACATGTATTGTTGCACCCCTACTAATTAGACATCACGCCATTGACATACATGATCTGATCTGAACCCCATTTGGTGCATCATAAGGGACACCTGCTCAACAAGTTTGTGTAGTAGTTTAACAAGCTCACGTTAGTCAGTCCATTCATCTGTTCACCTTATGACATTATTTCAATAATGAAAGCCTGTGATGAGTCCAACAAAACTGCCAGTGGTTGGTCACTACGGAATGGCGACGGGGGACATCAGCGACGGTTGGCATCGGGTTCTATCTTGTTAAACTTGTAGTGTTATCTAGACGTTCCACAATACGTTTTGTGTATTGTGAAAATATTTTGAAGTGTTTAATTATCTTTAATGCTTTAACGATGTGAGGGGGTGATTAAAGTGGTGACCAATAAGTTCTAACCTTAAATGAATGACCTTCTGCAAACAGACCCATTTGAACACGGCAGTGGAAAAGTGACAAAAACTATCAGCATTTCTAAGCAATTAAAGAACTAAACGAGTAATTATGATCAAATTAGACTGACTGTAAAACATTTCCACTCTCGGATTAGTTCCTACAGTACAGTACTCTCTGCCTGCTTCGGAGGGATTTGCATGAAATTTTATGTTCAGTAATAGTTTGAGGTTTGCCTACCTTGTAATTTGAGTTAAGCCGTGATGTGAAATTCCACCCCTGTATCCATCAATAAACCAAATAAGCTTTGAGCCCAAAAACACGAGTCCCAAGAGTCCAACTGAGAGGATTGTGTGATCAACAAGTCAGATCAGAGGATTTTTGCTGTTCGGGGAGCTCCTTTACTTGTTATCCTTCATATTTAAAAGCCAGTCTACTTATTTTCTATGTTCGTTCTGCACTGAGTGCTGTTCCTTGTGCAACGAGAGTGAGTAGATTTTAACCCAAAAAAGGAATGAATATATTAATGAAGTAACACTAGTTTTTGCAGAATGTGATACTATGTGCTCGAGAGTCATTATATTAGTTAAAAGAATAGTGTTTAGTCATTGCTTATTTTAAAATTGCCCATTTTATTTGTACAGAATCATTTGTTTCTGTACATATTTATGTACAATTTCCTGTCTGTGTCGACATGAAATATAAATATTTGAATATGCTGCAAAGACATCACCTAATTCACCAAATTATACTTTAAAAGAAACTATATTTRTTTAGTTTTTAACCCAAAAGCTTAGATCATTAGCCATTGTCAAAGTTGAACTGATTCAAATAAAGTAAATGTTTTATTTTTAGATGTGTCCTCAGACTTGTTAGTTTGCATTAAAGCACAGCTCAGTGTCTTTTTTTAATTTATTTTTTGTACAAATGTAGATTTCACGATTCAAATTTCTCATTGAGGCCTAAACTCAGCATATTGCATCCCCCTAAAAAAATAAAATGTGTGCATGCCATGCTTTTGTGGGGGAAAAGAAAAGTGGTTTATATATAAAATAAAAAAACCTAAAACAAACTATTCTAAATCCATAATTTACAAGTTTTCAGTCAACAAGGCAGACGCTGTCTCAGTCCCGGCGGAACAAAAAGCACAGAAGGAATATCACAAGATGAGCACTTCAGAGGAGGTTCTGCACAAGGCTGCACTCGAGCCATCTGTCTGTGATGTGCCCACTGATGTGCACAGGCTGGTGATGGATCCAGCTGAGGAGTGTGACCTCACACTCTGCTAGATAATCAACCAGCATCTCTCCCAATGCCTCTTGGTCCAAAGGTACGTGTCCTTTACCTTCAGCAAAAATGTTCATTAGAAAGTTTTCCTGCTGTTTTATCTCTCTCTCTCTCTCCACCTGGATGGACAATAGCTGCCCAGCTCCCAACTCTGTTCAGATCGTATATTAAATGTTAGTGGTGAGTAATTCAAGAAAAAAGTTAACTTATAATTTCCTTAAGTTGCTGTCTGTGWCTAATTTATACAAACAGAATTATAGATGACATTAAAGGAGAGCTGCAAGAACTGTGTAGATTAAAAACAAGTGTGTACTTGAAGTCTCTAGGAGTGCAGAAAATTTGAATTTAGTTTCTCCCGCTCCTCTGTAGATATCTTTATATTCTGTTTGGGTTTTATTTTCCAACCTGTTCAGTTTTCTTCTATGCATGTCAAATTATTTGCGATAGAACTGCCATATAAGGTCCGGACTTACCAACTACAAATTGGTGGTCTTCATTTTCCTCTGGCTCTGGGTCAGATGCCGGCTGGATGGATAAAGTAAAGTAAAGTAAGTAAAGTTTTATTTACACAGCGCCTTTCACAGAAATAAATTCACAAGGTGCTATACATTCAGGGAATGGGGGAGGGGACAGTTAAGAAACACCCATTCAAGAAGACATACAAGACAAACATGGGGGAACAGGTGAAACCGGTCATGCAGCAAACACAGCTGCGCTTCCTTTAACAACAGCTTGAAATACACAAAAGGAAAATTAAGTCTTCTATTGTTGACATCTTTTAATTCGTTTGTAAATTTGCCAAAACCAAAAAAATAAATGGAAGCTGGAGGGGGGCGGGGTGTGAAGCGCCTCGTTTGGATTTAAAAAMATAACATTAAAACGAGTTGATCTAAGGTCGTATTCACACCTAATAGTCCAGTAGACTCGGTTTGATTGGGGACCAAAATTGCAAGAATTGTTTACATTTTCAGTTGTTGCAGTTCACATTCATACTGCACTTAATGCATGAACCAAACCCTGTGAASAAACAGTTCCCAGCCTCGCCTGTGGTGGCGCTGCATCAAGACCCACTGAAGGAATTAACACTTTAACCTCAGAAGAAGACATGGAGCTTCTACTTTCTCCACAAAATGTGAGTGACGTCAGATTTTAAGGGTCGTAGTGTTTATTTTTTCTTTTTGGCAAATGTGCCAAACAAACACTCTTCAACAGTGGGCTCAGCATGAGTGGAAGATGAGGCAGAACCACAGAGAATGTTGCTTAAGGCGGCTGAGACGGCTCCATGCGAGGCGACGTTCACCGAGTAGGAGCACATCCAACTTCACAGCAGTGATGTCCACCTTGTACAGACATCAAGCGAGGTATTTACAAGATATGAGTCACTTTATTACTAATAATACCAGAATGACCTACATTATAGTCCGCTTCCCTCTGCTTGGCGTTCACACATGCAATCAAACCGCAGCAGAGTTCACTTCAACCGAACTAAGACCTATGGTCTGCATCAGAATTTGATTACGCGTTCACACCTCCCCAAACGAACTGGACTTTCTGGGCAAACAAACTAGAATTTGAT